TATGTCTGCATGACGTGGTACTCATTTAAGAACAAGGTAAAGTTTACCATTCCTCTGCATATTCCAAATTATTGAGAGTTCATTATATATGTGCTGCTAGCTGTCTGAATTTTAGAAGGTATTTTATGGGATTTGAGGTTCTCACTACGGTGAAGATGTCGATTTTGATGTTCTGGGCTGTAACGCCGTGAGGGCTGAACATTTATACGAAAATTTCGGATGAATGTAGTGTCTCTATCCTCAGCTGTCCTTCAATCGATCTATTCCATTGCCCTTATTGAAACTACTGCATTAATAAAGCCTTCATAATTTTGTAACTTATTTTAACATAGGCCTTCAGTAAGAAGAAACTTGTGGGACCTGAACTATGTTACATTTTGCCCTACAAAGTATACGAGTTTATTATGTAATTGGTTTTATGGAACACAGATAACATATGAATCATTCAGATCCAAATACTAGCTTCATTACAAACTCTTGCATTCCGATTTATGTCTGTGTCGGGAAAGAGATTGATTATATTCAGTGAATTACTATAAGAGAAGTTGTATACTTGTTCTTGATATGTATATAATATCAGGGAATGTTTAAGGAATTTTATTATTTTAAGAGGAAAAACTGAACTTGATTTCAAAGTACTGGATCCAAAATATATTGCGTGAGAAGTTGTATTAAGATTAAGTTAATATTGTTATACAAACTCCAGTTTATTAGGTATAATTTGGATGCATCTTCATTATCACCAACCACTTCCTGCTTAGAATAAATGGCGATAGTTCTCTTGAACTTGCGTAGCTGTGCCACATTGCGTGTATAATATGTAAACTAACATATTTATGTGATATTGTCACGTGACCGGGTGTGTTGCCGCTACAGGAATGGCTTTTCTGTGATGTACTGCTCTTTGTGAGTCGTCTTTGCAGCTCTGCATCTTTCGCCCTTACCGTAGGTTTATGCGGCGATAAGACACGAGGTGACAGAGTTAAGGATGCGCACAAACATAGCCGATGTGCAATGGAAACTATATGAAAGAACTGCTGTCAGGTGGCGGTGTGTTCACTCATTTTTTCCTTATTTCCGGTCTTTCATTTCGAGAAGGAACATGAAGAAGGACAGGCTCGCCGACATCATCTGCGGAAAAACAATTCTTATTATTATTATTATCATCTAAATTGGAGTTTTTATCGAATATATGTTGTGTGCAAATTCTTACTATGCGTAGCCTGCAAATTCTTTGGTGAGATGCTAACCTAACATTTGCGTTGTGGTCTGGCACGTATTACATAAAATGAAATTAAACTCTATGCAATTTTAGATCGGTACTATCAGACTTTGACCGACGGTGGTCTAGCGGTCAGAACGCTGGCCTTGTAATCCTGGGGTCTCGGGTTCGATTCCCGGCGGTGCCCGAATTTATAACTTGTGTTGGGCAAGGGCGTGGTCTAGGCAACACGGAGTTTTCCTCCTGGGGCTTCCGTGGCATCCCAAAAATTACTCCACTCACACACAGAAGAAGGCAATGGCAAACCACTTCTGGATCATCTGCCAAGAACGTATATGAACAGGTCCCAGTCCGAGAAAAGGATGGAAGGATCCTGTTCATATGGACCTGTCGTCAGACAGAACACTACAAATAAAAAAAAATACTATCAGACTTTAAAACTCCAAGTTGCGTGTTGGTCGCCAAGTATCTCATGATTTCAATTCAGACACTAATATGAACTATTTATAAGGTTTTATATTTGGGTGCTGTGTGTGAGGGTCTGGACTGTATTCAGTACATCCAAATATATTTTTCAGTATCTGACTACAGTCAACAGGTTAGGTTACGTTAGGTTGGGTTAGGTTAGGATGGAGTGTGTTAGGTTAGGTTTGGTCACCTTACTTTGCATATTGTGGTTACGTATGTATTGTCTTAGCTTTTGTTATTATGCGATAGTAATGTTGAGATCACATATCTGTCAATGTCATGCCATCTTCATGACAAAACCAACCCCAGGATTTGTTGAATGAAGACAAAAATTTCGTCATTTTAAGACTAATGTTCTCAGACTTCATTCTGCCGAACCTTATGTATCGTGTTGACTATACCCACTTACTTTTGAGATCGCAAACAGGTCAGGGACGTGTCACAGTCACAAAATTATCACCGTTTTCATTAATCAATTGTGTGTAAAATAGTAAGAAATCATTTAATAAACAATCATCTCGTGAAAACGTAATTGCGTGCCTTGCATCCTGTCTACCCGCCTTGCTTTCGGATCCTCACTGAAAACATAATTGCTCAATAATATTCTTACACTCAGCATAGTTGCGTTGGAGACTGGAACAAACTTGCCAGCTGTAAGTGTAAACTCTTTGTTGGCTGAGGCGATGATGAACATCAGACAGCGCTGGAACGGGACAGGAGCTCCGACCCAGTCGCACCCCCAGGCCGCGTCTCTAACACTTTCAGCCTGAAACAATGTGAATATAATTAGAAATGAAATGTTTCTTTCATAAACCACTTTATCCAACACTTCGTTTCGAAATGTGTATGCAAACAAAAATATTTGTGATGGTCTCCGTGCCGAATTTTGAATTTTTGTTTGGCTGCCATCAAACCAAAAATGAATCCTACATTTCGTGAAGCCGTGTTATAGTTCCATACTGTACTAAACATATCGTTTCAAAATTTGATTATTTTCCGAAGTTATATTTCTGTGAAAAGTATTGGAACCTATATTAAATTATGCTATTTTATTAAAAATCAAAAGCAATCTGTTAATAATTTATTCTTACCTGTACTGACAACTCATTTCCAAGCCAGCAAGTTAAAGTCAGAATGCAGAACCATTCCAAAAATACAAGAGTCGATTGGACTAGATCTACGTGGTCTCCCCAACTCTGTTGAAGGAAATAGTGCATTTTAGTGAGTGAAGCCACAGTAAATTACTGAAATATAGTTTTGAACTAAGATTTTTTCGTAAAGAATTTAAAATTTGAATAAATTTTATTATCCTCGAATTCTTTACTTAACGAATTTTTAATAATAGCATTTGCATTGGATATCGTACCGTGATGAACGAGAAGACAACAGAACAGAGCGCTGTTAAAATAAGCAGAAACACACCGCACTGCACTGTGCTCCAACTGTCTTCGAAGGCCTGCATGAACCTGTGTATGAACACACAACATTAAATCATTACCTTTATGCTGCCTACATCGAGGCGTGAAATTGGTTTGTAGTGTCGATGTTATATTGTAATCTTACTGTTTTATCTGTTGGTGGTGCCGAATGCAGTCGTTCAGTTGTTTCTGCATGCGATGGAACACTTCCTCAGGGGTGTGGGGATGTTCCTCTCCATTGGTCTCGGCCCCACAGTCCTGTTGTAATATGATATGTGTCTGTCTGATATCCAGTAGGGCCCCTTTGAGTTTCTCCAGCTGACTGCACGCCACACACACTAACGTCGCGTAAAGGCTCAGGAAGCCACCGAACACACACGCGATGAGAATTGCTGCAAAGACCTTCCAGAAACGAAGTAGCAATTGACGTGAAAGAATATTTGCGTTTGAAAGGGGAATTTTGTTGACGGGAAATTGGTGCATAATCTAATAGGAGGTTATAACTAAGATGTGGGAGAAGATACATAGATTTTGTTGGGTAGATCTATGATGATCACATTACAGAATTACATTAAGATTGGTGTTAGGAATATATTATTTGGGGGGGAGGGAGGTCGATAGATGTGGCTCAGAATTTTTAAAAACTTTCTTTCTGGTTATCCTCGGAACCTATTTCATGGTTTTGTTTCGTAGGTTATGGTTTAGTAAGGAGAGTAATGTTGATGATGCACTGTGGTCATGATATTTATTATACATTTTTTAGAAGTTGTAATTTATCTCTCGCAACTGATCTCTATGTAATGCACTTTGAGTAGAACCATTGTCGTTGTCTGGGGATTGATATTAACCTTTTCAACAGACTAAGTCCAGAATCTTTTTCTCCCGATGATGGAAACAGCATTTGCTTCTGAAGAATTGTGTCGTTTCTAAACTAAGAGATATTTTTCGTCCATGAATATACATTACAGCTTTATCAAAAACCTTTACGCTAATCAAACTGATGCATAAATTATTGCCCAAAATTCTGTTAACATATACCATTAATTTTTCTTCCTTTTTTGTGGAATTTGGACATTTTTTGTAATAGGAAACATTTATTTTTCGCAGTACTTCGCCAAGGTGGTTGTACGTAATGCTTATAAAAGTATATTAATTCAATTCATTTCATTAATGTACTCGGCGGCAACATTTTCTGTAGTACCAGTATTAGTATTAATATCTACCTGTGTCAAGTTCAAAATCTCGTACGCTGGGCTGGCAGAAGAATCGAAGGGATACCACTTGGTGATCATCATTTCACGATTCCTCACCATACGCACACCACTTTGAGGGAAATGTATTAGAAGTATGCAGGCTGGATAATATCGGGCAAATGATTGTGCGATCTGTATGTATCCAACCATCGTTAAACGTCCTGTTTCTGGGTCCCTGGTCGGAACTTCTTCCCACGTGAAGGAATCTGTCAGACTAATGAGGTGTTCGATGTCACGTTTCCTGTAACTGCAAGGGAAATAAATATTATTTTATCTGTAAACATATCCGCGATATTCTGTTCATTTCTTTGGCACTTTGTGTGACGTCAGAAGTCTTAAGAGTAATCTACTATTGGTATTTAATATATAATGGGGCTCTTTTCTTACCTAAATTCTCAAAAGCTTGAATTAATGGAATTCGTCGTCTATCTCACGTCACAAAACGAAACACAAGCAACTCGTCGTTTTTAAACAGCTAATTTTGTCATTCACTGCCCTTTAAGGGAGTCTGTTCGGTTTATCCGAAACACATTATAACATTGCCTTTGAGAAACTTTGAGTTACCTGAGGAAGAAGTGTTGCCACATAACGACCCCCATTCCAAAGACGACTCGAGAACTCTTCATTAATTCCTTTAAGTCTGAACTGACGAGGAAATCCATAAAACCAGACAAGCAAGTGATGTAGAAAGATACGGGGACGATTACGTTATATGCACTTCGAAGTGTTGTTGTTGAGTGCGTGTTGATTGGAATTCCAGCTGATCTGAGGGTGAGCAGAAGTTTGCGAAACCGATTCTCTGACACGGCTTTTGCGTTAATTTTCCTTGCATTCATGTTTCCAACGACTATGTTTAGGTCTGTAATTGTTTTGTAAATTGTAGTTGTTATG